TGTAAGGTAGACATGAACCAATCAACTAGGACGTAGACCCCGCCCTGTATGGTAGACATGAACCAATCAACTAGGACGTAGACCCCGCCCTGTAAGGTAGACATGAACCAATCAACTAGGACGTAGACCCCGCCCTGTAAGGTAGACATGAACCAATCAACTAGGACGTAGACCCCGCCCTGTAAGGTAGACATGAACCAATCAACTAGGACGTAGACCCCGCCCTGTAAGGTAGACATGAACCAATCAACTAGGACGTAGACCCCGCCCTGTAAGGTAGACATGAACCAATCAACTATCTGTAGGACGTAGACCCCGCCCTGTAAGGTAGACATGAACCAATCAACTAGGACGTAGACCCCGCCCTGTAAGGTAGACATGAACCAATCAACTATCTGTAGGACGTAGACCCCGCCCTGTAAGGTAGACATGAACCAATCAACTAGGACGTAGACCCCGCCCTGTAAGGTAGACATGAACCAATCAACTAGGACGTAGACCCCGCTCTGTATGGTAGACATGAACCAATCAACTAGGACGTAGACCCCGCCCTGTAAGGTAGACATGAACCAATCAACTAGGACGTAGACCCCGCCCTGTAAGGTAGACATGAACCAATCAACTAGGACGTAGACCCCGCCCTGTAAGGTAGACATGAACCAATCAACTATCTGTAGGACGTAGACCCCGCCCTGTAAGGTAGACATGAACCAATCAACTAGGACGTAGACCCCGCCCTGTAAGGTAGACATGAACCAATCAACTAGAACGTTGACCCCGCCCTGTAAGGTAGACATGAACAAATCAACTATCTGTAGGACGTAGACCCCGCCCTGTAAGGTAGACATGAACCAATCAACTATCTGTAGGACGTAGACCCCGCCCTGTAAGGTAGACATGAACCAATCAACTAGGACGTAGACCCCGCTCTATAAGGTAGACATGAACCAGTCAACTATCTGTAGGACGTAGACCCCGCCCTGTAAGGTAGACATGAACCAATCAACTATCTGTAGGACGTAGACCCCGCCCTGTAAGGTAGACATGAACCAATCAACTAGGACGTAGACCCCGCCCTGTAAGGTAGACATGAACCAATCAACTAGGACGTAGACCCCGCCCTGTATGGTAGACATGAACCAATCAACTATCTGTAGGACGTAGACCCCGCCCTGTAAGGTAGACATGAACCAATCAACTAGGACGTAGACCCCGCCCTGTAAGGTAGACATGAACCAATCAACTAGGACGTAGACCCCGCCCTGTAAGGTAGACATGAACCAATCAACTAGGACGTAGACCCCGCCCTGTAAGGTAGACATGAACCAATCAACTAGGACGTAGACCCCGCCCTGTAAGGTAGACATGAACCAATCAACTATCTGTAGGACGTAGACCCCGCCCTGTAAGGTAGACATGAACCAATCAACTAGGACGTAGACCCCGCCCTGTAAGGTAGACATGAACCAATCAACTAGGACGTAGACCCCGCCCTGTAAGGTAGACATGAACCAATCAACTAGGACGTAGACCCCGCCCTGTAAGGTAGACATGAACCAATCAACTATCTGTAGGACGTAGACCCCGCCCTGTAAGGTAGACATGAACCAATCAACTAGGACGTAGACCCCGCCCTGTAAGGTAGACATGAACCAATCAACTAGAACGTTGACCCCGCCCTGTAAAGTAGACATGAACCAATCAACTATCTGTAGGACGTAGACCCCGCTCTGTAAGGTAGACATGAACCAATCAACTATCTGTAGGACGTAGACCCCGCCCTGTAAGGTAGACATGAACCAATCAACTAGGACGTAGACCCCGCTCTATAAGGTAGACATGAACCAGTCAACTATCTGTAGGACGTAGACCCCGCCCTGTAAGGTAGACATGAACCAATCAACTAGGACGTAGACCCCGCCCTGTAAGGTAGACATGAACCAATCAACTAGGACGTAGACCCCGCCCTGTAAGGTAGACATGAACCAATCAACTATCTGTAGGACGTAGACCCCGCCCTGTAAGGTAGACATGAACCAATCAACTAGGACGTAGACCCCGCCCTGTAAGGTAGACATGAACCAATCAACTAGGACGTAGACCCCGCCCTGTAAGGTAGACATGAACCAATCAACTAGGACGTAGACCCCGCCCTGTAAGGTAGACATGAACCAATCAACTAGGACGTAGACCCCGCCCTGTAAGGTAGACATGAACCAATCAACTATCTGTAGGACGTAGACCCCGCCCTGTAAGGTAGACATGAACCAATCAACTAGGACGTAGAACCCGCCCTGTAAGGTAGACATGAACCAATCAACTATCTGTAGGACGTAGACCCCGCCCTGTAAGGTAGACATGAACCAATCAACTAGGACGTAGACCCCGCCCTGTAAGGTAGACATGAACCAATCAACTATCTGTAGGACGTAGACCCCGCCCTGTAAGGTAGACATGAACCAATCAACTATCTGTAGGACGTAGACCCCGCCCTGTAAGGTAGACATGAACCAATCAACTAGGACGTAGACTCCGCCCTGTAAGGTAGACATGAACCAATCAACTAGGACGTAGACCCCGCCCTGTAAGGTAGACATGAACCAATCAACTAGGACGTAGACCCCGCCCTGTAAGGTAGACATGAACCAATCAACTAGGACGTAGACCCCGCCCTGTAAGGTAGACATGAACCAATCAACTATCTGTAGGACGTAGACCCCGCCCTGTAAGGTAGACATGAACCAATCAACTAGGACGTAGACCCCGCCCTGTAAGGTAGACATGAACCAATCAACTAGGACGTAGACCCCGCCCTGTAAGGTAGACATGAACCAATCAACTAGGACGTAGACCCCGCCCTGTAAGGTAGACATGAACCAATCAACTAGGACGTAGACCCCGCCCTGTAAGGTAGACATGAACCAATCAACTAGGACGTAGACCCCGCCCTGTAAGGTAGACATGAACCAATCAACTATCTGTAGGACGTAGACCCCGCCCTGTAAGGTAGACATGAACCAATCAACTAGGACGTAGACCCCGCCCTGTAAGGTAGACATGAACCAATCAACTAGGACGTAGACCCCGCCCTGCAAGGTAGACATGAACCAATCAACTAGGACGTAGACCCCGCCCTGTATGGTAGACATGAACCAATCAACTATCTGTAGGACGTAGACCCCGCCCTGTAAGGTAGACATGAACCAATCAACTAGGACGTAGACCCCGCCCTGTAAGGTAGACATGAACCAATCAACTAGGACGTAGACCCCGCCCTGTAAGGTAGACATGAACCAATCAACTAGGACGTAGACCCCGCCCTGTAAGGTAGACATGAACCAATCAACTAGGACGTAGACTCCGCCCTGTAAGATAGGCATGAACCAATCAACTAGGACGTAGACCCCGCCCTGTAAGGTAGACATGAACCAATCAACTAGGACGTAGACCCCGCCCTGTAAGGTAGACATGAACCAATCAACTAGGACGTAGACCCCGCCCTGTAAGGTAGACATGAACCAATCAACTAGGACGTAGACCCCGCCCTGTAAGGTAGACATGAACCAATCAACTATCTGTAGGACGTAGACCCCGCCCTGTAAGGTAGACATGAACCAATCAACTATCTGTAGGACGTAGACCCCGCCCTGTATGGTAGACATGAACCAATCAACTAGGACGTAGACCCCGCCCTGTAAGGTAGACATGAACCAATCAACTATCTGTAGGGCGTAGACCCCGCCCTGTATGGTAGACATGAACCAATCAACTAGGACGTAGACCCCGCCCTGTAAGGTAGACATGAACCAATCAACTATCTGTAGGACGTAGACCCCGCCCTGTAAGGTAGACATGAACCAATCAACTAGGACGTAGACCCCGCCCTGTATGGTAGACATGAACCAATCAACTATCTGTAGGACGTAGACCCCGCCCTGTAAGGTAGACATGAACCAATCAACTAGGACGTAGACCCCGCCCTGTAAGGTAGACATGAACCAATCAACTATCTGTAGGACGTAGACCCCGCCCTGTAAGGTAGACATGAACCAATCAACTAGGACGTAGACCCCGCCCTGTATGGTAGACATGAACCAATCAACTATCTGTAGGACGTAGACCCCGCCCTGTAAGGTAGACATGAACCAATCAACTAGGACGTAGACCCCGCCCTGTAAGGTAGACATGAACCAATCAACTATCTGTAGGACGTAGACCCCGCCCTGTAAGGTAGACATGAACCAATCAACTAGGACGTAGACCCCGCCCTGTAAGGTAGACATGAACCAATCAACTAGGACGTAGACCCCGCCCTGTAAGGTAGACATGAACCAATCAACTAGGACGTAGACCCCGCCCTGTAAGGTAGACATGAACCAATCAACTATCTGTAGGACGTAGACCCCGCCCTGTAAGGTAGACATGAACCAATCAACTAGGACGTAGACCCCGCCCTGTAAGGTAGACATGAACCAATCAACTAGGACGTAGACCCCGCCCTGTAAGGTAGACATGAACCAATCAACTAGGACGTAGACCCCGCCCTGTAAGGTAGACATGAACCAATCAACTAGGACGTAGACCCCGCCCTGTAAGGTAGACATGAACCAATCAACTATCTGTAGGACGTAGACCCCGCCCTGTAAGGTAGACATGAACCAATCAACTAGGACGTAGACCCCGCCCTGTAAGGTAGACATGAACCAATCAACTAGGACGTAGACCCCGCCCTGTAAGGTAGACATGAACCAATCAACTATCTGTAGGACGTAGACTCCGCCCTGTAAGGTAGACATGAACCAATCAACTAGGACGTAGACCCCGCCCTGTAAGGTAGACATGAACCAATCAACTAGGACGTAGACCCCGCCCTGTAAGGTAGACATGAACCAATCAACTATCTGTAGGACGTAGACTCCGCCCTGTAAGGTAGACATGAACCAATCAACTAGGACGTAGACTGGACATTAGTGACAGAAGTAGGACATGCTGGACGTTACCTGAAAGACCATGGGAATGCCCAGGACGAACTCGAACAGACACATGCAGGCTGTGAAAGTCATCTTCTTCTTCCGGAGCAAGTGGGGGTACTCATCTATGAAGGCGCTGGTCATCGTTTCAAACATGCCGAACTGGGAGGTCAACGGTTACATTAATGATCTCATAACAACTGGGAGGTCAAGGGTTACATTAATGCTCTCATAACAACTGGGAGGTCAAGGGTTACATTAATGGTCTCATAACAACCGGGAGGTAAAGGGTCACAGTAATGGTCTCATTACAAATGGGACGTAAAGGGTTAATGGTCTTATAACAACTGGGAGGTCAAGGGTTACAGTTAGGTCACATCCATGCTACATATGACACACCAGAGAGGGGAGAAAAACATGATGACTACATATGACACACCAGAGAGGGGAGAAAAACATGAGGACTACATATGACACACCAGAGAGGGGAGAAAAACATGAGGACTACATATGACACACCAGAGAGGGGAGAAAAACATGAGGACTACATATGACACGGTGTTAAGTAGAGAGGGGAGAGAACCATGAGGACTACATATGACACGGTGTTGAGTAGAGAGGGGAGAGAACCATGAGGACTACATATGACACGGTGTTGAGCAGAGAGGGGAGAGAACCATGAGGACTACATATGACACGGTGTTGAGTAGAGAGGGGAACTCACTTGGCTGTCGATGCCGATGGTGAAGACCATGAGAAAAAACAGGACGGCCCAAACCTGCGCCAGAGGCATTTTTCCGATGGCCTCCGGGTAGACAACGAAGATGAGCCCAGGGCCTTGCTTGGCCACCTTGTCGATAGCGATGCCAGTGGAGTGGGCCATGAACCCCAGCACGGAGAAAATGGCGAACCCAGCGAACACGCTGGTACCGCAGTTGATGAGCGGAACAATCATGGCGTCCCTGGGGAAACAATCATTAAAACAATCATGGCGTCCCTGGGGAAACAATTATCGGAACAATCATAGCGTCCCTGGGGAAACAATCATCGTAACAATCATGGCATCCCCAGGGAATCAATCATTGGAACAATCATGACGTCCATGAGGAAAAAACAATTGGGGGTTTTCCTTGAAGATTTTCAACATGGATGAATGTTTCCCCAGGGACGCCATGATTTTCATCATGGAACACAGTGATAAAAAATAAAAAAGAGCGGCAAAACAAACAAACAAACAAACAAACAAACAAACAAGCGCTTGACAACAACTAGCGGCTGCCGGAAACATTAGCAACGAGAAACTGCGCAACGGATAGCTAGGTTTGCTTTAATCCAGCGTTGATTGAGATTGACAAAGAGCATACTAAAACATATTTCCTCCAAATATGACAAAATTAAAGTGTATTAGTATAGTTTGGATTTGCGCAATTTTCTGTATGCGAAGTTTTCTGGTGCGCAGTTTTACGATTGCAGATTTTTCTGGGAACCCAACTAGCGATGAGTGCCGGTCGAAATGTTCTCCTGTCGCCAGATATTTGAGTTTACCTGGCAGGTGAAGTAGATTTACCTGAAGACATTGTGAGAAAACTTGTTAGTTTACCTGGCAGGTGAAGTAGATTTACCTGAAGACATTGTGAGAAAACTTGTTAGTTTACCTGGCAGGTGAAGTAGATTTACCTGAAGACATTGTAAGAAAACGTGTTAGTTTACCTGGCAGGTGAAGTAGATTTACCTGAAGACATTGTGAGAAAACTTGTTAGTTTACCTGGCAGGTGAAGTAGATTTACCTGAAGACATTGTGAGAAAACTTGTTAGTTTACCTGGCAGGTGAAGTAGATTTACCTGAAGACGTTGTGAGAAAACTTGTTGTAGCTAGACATGGTGATGAGCGACCCCCAGGCCATCCCCACGGAGAAGAAGATCTGTACAGCCGCGTCCCCCCACACCTTGAACTCCAGAAGTTTCGACCACTTGGGGATGACGTAGAACTCGATGCCAATTATAGCACCAGGTAGGGTGGTACCCCTGACGATCAGGGCAGTCAGTACAAAGTAGGGGAAGGTCGAGGTCACGTAGACTACCTGTGGGGGTCGAAGGGGTTCAATACTTTAGGCATGTACATAGGGTAACATGTCATATACAACAGGTAACATGCCATCCACACAAGGTAACATGTCTTATACATAAGGTAACATGTCTTATACACAAGGTAACATGCCATCCACACAAGGTAACATGTCATATATACAAGGTAATATGTCATATACACAAGGTAACATGTCATATACACAAGGTAACATGCCATATACACAAGTTAAAAAATAATGTATAAAAAATAGATTCTGATTTCTTGATTGTGCTTTGAGTAAATTAGATTTAAAATTTATTTTATATTTTACTTTAGCAAAGGTGTCATTTCAGTTGTCCTTTTAGAAATTATGTTCTTGTATATAGATCTACATAGTATGGAGGAAGTATAGTAATTGTGCTAAAAATATAAAACTAGATTTTTATTAAACTTGACGTTTCACGCCAGGGGCGGAACTACAGTGCCGCCAGACCCCGCAATGCGGGGGGGGGGCCCACGCCATTGAGGGGCCCACAGCCGACCATACATTTTTTATAGTTAAAAAAAATAATTTACTTGCATTTTTGACTTCATGGTTGTTTTGTAAAAAAGATTACCGTTGCTGCAATTGGATTATCTTTATTCTATAGACACCACCCCACGCTCGTGTATATTGTTTTTACATTTGTTTTTAAACCACTGTGAAAGCCGAGTCTCCTTTCTCCTACAATCAAACTTATCAAAGATAAGCAGGCTTCCATGACTTATTTCCCTTTTGTAAATATTCAAATAGGGGTGTTCATAAGCTCCGTTTATAGATTTGTACTAAACAAATTAAAAAGCAATTACTTCTCTTAATTATTATTTTTTTAAAGTACGTACTAAAGAATAATAATGTTTAAACAGGCAATGTATTTAAAATGAATAATTTAAATAAATAAAAATAATAAATAAACATAATGTGAAACACCATTACTTATACAAAGCTTTCATGGTTTATATTCTTTTGACCGACTTGAACTTAGTAGGTCTTATAGCACACTTAACAAAACTCATTTTCACAAAACACACTGATGCACTTACAGACTTGCACACATGACATGATGTTGTAATTTGTTATAATTGAAAGAAAAAACATTTTCTTTCAAAACCCGAACAGGTCAGCAATGCGTATCCTATGTTCGTATTTTGTATATATATATATATATATATATATATATATATATATATATATATATATATATATATATATATATATATATATATATATATATATCAGTGGCGTAGCGAGGTCGGGTGTCACCCCCCCCCCCCCCCCCAGAGGCATAGAGACCCTTCCCAGGGACAAACTTTCAAATTTTCGACTTGCACCCACCCCCCTCAAACTTTCGATTTGCACCACCCCCCCCCCTCAAACTTTTGATTTGCACCCCCCCCCCCCCCCCTCAAACTTTCGATTTACACCCCCCTCGAGTTTTTCTCTATATATTTTGCTATTTTTTGCCTTGGTGTCACCCCCCTAAATGGTGTCACCCGGTGCGGTCCGCACCCCCCGCCCCCCCCCTCGCTACGCCCCTGATATATATATATTTATATATATATATATATATATATATATATATATATATATATATATATATATATATATATATATATGGGGGGCCTAAAGAATTTTTTTGCGGGGTGGCCCTTTTTTTCTAGTTCCGCCACTGTTTCACGCCTTTCATAGTTAAAAATAAAGTATCTTTATCCAAAGCCTACGGTGAGTGGTGCAATGAGCATTGTAGTATTCCTGCCATCGCCGTTAGGGCCACAAGAAAAACTTACTTTACCAGAAGACTTGACCCCCTTGAAGAGACAGATGAAGACGATGACCCAGGCCAGCCCTAGACAGCCCAGCAGTTCCAGACGTATGGAGCCCATCTGGTCGATACCCTCGGTGATTTGTAGCACGTTGCGACTGGTGTCAGGGTAGAGGTGTTTCAGGGTGTGATAATATATGACGTTAGTGGTGTTTTAGGGTGTGATGCTATGTGTCTTTAGTGGTGTTATGGGGTGTGACAATATGTGTCGTTAGTGGTGTTATAGGGTGTTACTATACGTGACGTTAGTGGTGTTTTAAGGTGTGATACTATGTGTCGTTAGTGGTGTTATGGGATGTGACAATATGTGACGTTAGTGGTGTTTTAAGGTGTGATACTATGTGTCGTTAGTGGTGTTATGGGATGTGACAATATGTGACGTTAGTGGTGTTTTAAGGTGTGATACTATGTGTCGTTAGTGGTGTTATGGGGTGTGACAATATGTGACGTTAGTGGTGTTTTAAGGTGTGATACTATGTGTCGTTAGTGGTGTTATGGGGTGTGACAATATGTGACGTTAGTGGTGTTTTAAGGTGTGATACTATGTGTCGTTAGTGGTGTTATGGGATGTGACAATATGTGACGTTAGTGGTGTTTTAAGGTGTGATACTATGTGTCGTTAGTGGTGTTATGGGGTGTGACAATATGTGATGTTAGTGGTGTTTTAAAGTGTGACAATATGTGACGTTAGTGTTATATGGTTTGACAATACATGACCGCAGCGTTATATGGTTTGACAATATGTGACAGTAGGGGTGTTAATGGTGTGATAATATGGGGCGTCACTCGTGTTATGCGGTGTGACAATACATGACGATGGCGAAGATTAATGGTGTGACATAATGAACCACATTACAATTCTGACAAACAATGACGTCATTCCTTTGTTTCAACACACTTGACAGTAAACGTTTTAAATGATAGAAGCTACGTAGAAATTGTGACAATATATGACGTCTCTGTATTATATGGTGTGACGTCACTGCGTTACATGGTGTGGAAACATGCCGGTAAAATGCACGTGAGCAAGGACGACAACTCACTCCCAAAACTCCTGACTGGACGTGTGGTTGACGCCCTCTGCTGCCCCGGACGAGCGCGACATCTCCTTGATGCAGTGTTCCGTGTTCCACCAGTTATCGCAGTGAGACCAAGGCAGCACGGGGTAGAAAGAGTTGAACAGGTAGAAAAAGTTCCAGGCGATGATGACGTTGTAGTAGATACACACCAGGCCCGAGACGATCACCATGCCGTATCCGATGCCTGCAGAACAACGAAGGGGGGGGGGGGGCTTAACAAACATCATACCTAACTGCTGGTCAGAGCTCTAGGGGGGGGGGGGGACTTACCTAGTATCATGTGTGTGTGTGTGTGCTGCTGTTTTAGATGCACTTTTATTCAGTTGGCTAACCTTCACCTAATCCTCACATATAATTATAGGTAGGCTAATCTCGATATTTAAAGAGTGGGCTAATCCTGACCTTTAAAGATTAGTCTAATCCTGACCTTTAAAGAGTGGGCTAATCCTGACCTTTAAAGAGCGGGCTAATCCTGACCTTTAAAGAGTGGGCTAATCCTCCAGACTGTGATGGGGCTAAGACTAGCAAACTGTCCGTACGCGGTCTCCAGGAAGAAGAGCGGCAACCCACACAGGATCAGGAAAGAAAAGTAAGGGATAAAAAACGCCCCTGAAAGCAAAGGGAAAAAATACAAGCATTATTTTTTAACATTTATTTTTTAACATTTATTTTTAACATTTATTTTTTAACATTTATTTTTAACATTGTCTTTTGTTCACCCGACTTGTTAACGTAAATTGTCATTTCAGTGGCGGACCTATTTTTAGATCAATCAGAACATTGTAGTGACGTACATATAGCAATGAGATGATTACAGTGGCCTATGAAAATAAAGCGGGAGTGATCTCCCCTAAACTTTAAAAAATAGAATAAAATAATAAAAATAAAAATAAAATAATTGCGCACGAAATGAAAGTAAACAATGTGCGTATAATAGAGCAAACAAAATTAGTGCTTTATAAAGGAAACATTGATTATTTTTTGATTAGTTGATTAAACATCTAATTCAACCAATTTTTTTGTCACATTGCATTGTCATCGAGTCAAGACCTACGTGAAAAGTTTTGGAGAAATCGGTCCGGTAGAAAAAATCTGGTTTCATAAATCGGAAATAGCGTCAATTAATACTTCCATGAACCGAAATAATCAGCCCTAATTTGAGAGATTCGAAAGATTATAATCTGATACCTGTTTTTAAAATTTCGTCCACCTAAATGAAACAGTACTCTAGTTATAGGCCTTTTAGGAATCAAAAATAGAGTAAAGTTCCACTTCCGTTATTGGATGCCTCTCCAAATTTGTGAGCCAAGTATAGGATCTTATACTTAGATATCAGACTTTCACGTCTGCCTAATTGAAACAGTACTTTAGAAAGAATGCTCATTTGGAAATAGTAAAGTACCACTTCCGGTTACTGGAGATCGTTCAAATCTTTATACAGAACTACTAATTCGAAATAATACTTATGTATGAAATTACATAAACACTACTGAAAGGATACTTTAGTTTAACGTATTTACAGAAAGACAAAAGACAAAACTACAAAGCTAGGTTTTTCCAAATCACGGAGGTGTAAAATGTTGAGATTTTTAAAAATCCCGAATTCGATTTTTGAGGATTACAACATTTGCTCTATACTTCGCTGACAAATGACCTCCTCACCACTGACTGACATGACCGAACGACCTCCCCTCCACTGACCTCCCCTCCACTGACCTGACCGAATGACCTCCCCTCCACTGACCTGACCGAATGACCTCCCCTCCACTGACCTCCCCTCCACTGACCTCCCCTCCACTGACCTGACCGAATGACCTCCCCTCCACTGACCTCCCCTCCACTGACCTCCCCTCCACTGACCTCCCCTCCACTGACCTCCCCTCCACTGACTGACCTGACCAAATGACCTCACCTCCACTGACTGACCTGACCAAATGACCTCCCCCTCCACTGACTGACCTAACCAAATGACCTCACCTCCACTGACTGACCTCACCAAACGACCTCCTCTCCACTGACTGACCTAACCAAATGACCTCCCCCTCCACTGACTGACCTGACCAAATGACCTCACCTCCACCGCTGGTGTAGCACAGGTACGGGAACCTCCAGATGTTACCCAGCCCGACAGCGAACCCAATACAGGAGAGCAGAAAGTCCAACTTTCCGGTCCACGTCTCTCGCTCGTCCTCCTCGGGCAGGTTCAGCTCGCTCTCGTCCTTGTAGATGACGTAGTTTTTTTTCTAGGGTCAAGGTCAAGGTTGAAGTTGAATTGGCCAGCGAGGTCATGAAATAACACGGGGTATGGGACTACAGGACACAGGAACAGGACGTAGGACCAGGACTACAGGACACAGGAACAGGACCAACATTGTGGGACATAGGACCAGGACTATAGGACCAGGAACTACATGACATAGGACCAGGAACTACATGACATAGGACCAGGACTACAGGACACAAGAACAACATTGTGGGACATAGGACCAGGTCTACAGGACATAGGACCAGTACAGGACCAGTACTTTAGGACACAGGATTATAACTTAAGTGCTTTTAACGCTATTATTGATGGTACTAGTTTGGCTACTGCAGTTTATTGTTATCCTTGTTTTGTTGTTATTGATGTAATTGTTGGTGTTTGCTGTAGTCCGTACTGTTTATTTATTGTTTTTGTTATTACTTTTATTGTTGTTGTTTTTCGTGTTGCTGTCAGTGTTATTTCTTGTAATTGTTATTGAATTTTGATGCGCGGCGTGCGTCCCCCCCCCTATACAGATAGCCTTTAGGAACTTACCTCACGCGGCGGTGGGTCGACTGGAGTACCAGAACCTTCTGGCACCGGTTCTGTGAACTGTAGACTACAAGCATCGTTCTCCAGCTCTTGGATGTGTTGGGGCTGATGACGAGATATTCATGTTACTTAATGGGTTCAGTACCACCATCATTTAGGTTAATGGGGTTCGGTACTCCATCATTTAGGTTAATGGGGTTCGGTACTCCATCATTTAGGTTAATGGGGTTTAGTTGTACCATAATTTAGGTTAATGGGGTTTAGTACTCCATCATTTAGGTTAATGGGGTTCAATACTCCATCATTTAGGTTAATGGGGTTCAATACTCCATCATTTAGATTAATGGGGTTCAACGCTTTTAACATTTTGACATATATTATTTTAATGTTTAAATGTACAAATAACCGCCCATTTCGATACTTCACTTGTGCTGTGAATCCCTAAAACGATACTCATAATCCAGACTGAGCTCTTACTTAACCCAAGCCATAAACATAGCTTTCCGTCCGAGTTAATATGACATTATCTAGGGGTTTAATTATTATCGTTTATTAGGAAACCCAAGGAGTGTATAATATTTCTAACCAAAACTCTATAGCATCTTATCTTTACTAAATACTGTAGTGTAAATATTAGGTACAGTGTAGGTAGATCTAACTTAACTTCTTGACGATATTAATATAACTTAACTATAAAAATCAGGTAATAACTGACCTCTAAAAATTTCACTTCTGCCATTAGCACCTAAAACTAAAGTTACAAAATAAAAGCGTTTTCAATGTTTCCAGCTTGCTAGATGTTCTTGTGTGAGATCGAGTCAGGTATGTAAACAAACAATGAGATGGTTCAAATGTTTTGACAGGAAGTCTACATGAGTTCGCTCTCTCTCTGTATTACTGTGCGACCGACGTTCAAAGACTTTGCGGAAATTTCCGATCAAGCTCCGTGTGTTGCCGTAATTCAACACCTGCGGTTCACAATACAAAAACAGTCACTAATCAAGGAGATGGAATATATGGACCATTCGTCCGATATTCTCCTACCGATATCGAAAGTCTACTTACAACGAACACATCTGTCAAGTATATGTTTAACTTACGCTGTTGGTAGTTTAAGTCATCATTCAGTGGGTTTCTTTCAGATATTTTTTCTCCGCATGCGGGCTTAAAACTTCCATGATGTCGGAAGATGGGGGTGGAAGCAATGTTAAAGTACATTTCTCTGGTTAAATTTAAAGATGACGATTCTTATATTTTTATTGGGCTATATATATAATATGCATATATATATATATATATATATATATATATATATATATATATATATATATATATATATATATGTATATATATATATATATATATATATATATATATATATATATATATATTTGACTTTCTCACTTAATTACACTTTGTTGTAAAATATTCGGGCCTCTTTTTAACAAACAACAAAACGAGCAATGGAGGTTTCATAAATTATCTGTTTAATTTGCAATTTTATTTAAACACAGCTTGATAAAATCAAATTTTTCCGATGGCGAGCTGAATAACTGTAGGCTGCATCTGATGTGATTGTGGTGTATAGGGCCTATATGAGTCCAATGATTGTGGTGTGGTCAGTTAAATGATTGTGTTGTGGTCACACTGGACCAAACACCTTGCTGAAGGTGTCACTGTACAATGATTGTGGTGTGGTCAGACTAGACCAACCACCTTGCTGAAGGTGTCCCTGTACAATGATTGTGGTGTGGTCAGTTAAATGATTGTGGTGTGGTCAGACTAGACCAACCACCTTGCTGAAGGTGTCCCTGTACAATGATTGTGGTGTGGTCAGACTAGACCAAACACCTTGCTGAAGGTGTCCCTGTACAATGATTGTGGTGTGGTCAGTTAAATGATTGTGATGGTGGTCAGACTGGACCGAACACCTTGCTGAAGGTGTCCCTGTACTTGCTGCTCATCTTGAGGTAGACCAGGATGTTGAGGGCGGCGTTGAGTGCCAGCACCGGCTCGCTCACCCCATTCAGCACCAGGTACAGGTCAACGTACTCACCATAGAAGCTTACCCGGTGGTCAAAGGTCATGGTCAGCATGACAGCCACATCCGGGATCAGTGCCAGTATGAAGATGATGGACAGAGAGACGACCATTTTGATCACCTTGAGGTCGCGGACAGACGACATTTCTGTTTTGTCTGCGCAGAAATGATTTTGGCGCCATTTGGATTTGAACCTGAGGCTAGTTACCAAAATGACGGTGCAGACGATGACGAAAATAAAAGTTGCGATGGTGAAAACAAAAGAAATCGCAGTCGTCACAGAATCGATTTCTGCGCTGTTGTTGTGGTACACGAGAATTACATACGTTCGATTACTGCTGGTATCGAATTGACATTGGTATTCAACAGCGAAGTACGCCGGCATGATGATAAGAACTAGCACACACAAAATGGCCGCCAGGATTAAATTAGTTCGCCTCGGCGTGATTAGAACCTTGACCTTGAGGGGGAGGGCTGTGCAGAGACAGCGCTCAAACGTGATGAAGGCAGTGACCCAGTTCCCCGCCCGCCGGAAGTAGAACTCTGGCCACCCGACCGTCAAAATGGACAAATCTAAGACGTTAAAGTTGAGGTCAAGGTCACCCCATATGGGATAGTAGCACAGACTGATGAGCAGGGTGTAGAGGAGGTAGAGTAGATCAGTGACAGACAACACCAGCAGGCTTTTGTTGACAGTGTCTTTGACCCCCATCTTGCGGAAGATGATGACGTTGATGACATTCGTCACCATCCCGAGCACGGAGATGATCGTGTAGACGAGCACGAAGTCGACGAAGGTGAACAGCTCCATGGCTCGCTGGCTGAAATAGCCGTGGACCGCCGAGACATACCAGGGGAGGTTAGCGGCCTTGGTTTCTATCTCATCCATGGTTACCTGCCGCTGGATATATTCTACAAAAAAATGACGGTTTAGTACACTTTAAATTACAAAATTCAGAGCAGTTTTAATTGGTGTTACCAAACCTGGTAATTAGACGCAATCATTATGCCTCGAGCAGTGCTGTAACGGTTTTCCGTATTTGTATTGACGTTGGTTATTATAATGTACTAAGTAATTGCGTTAATAATTAAAGATAATTACACACTTCTTATGCGGGGAACACTAATGAACCTGTCGGAGGATACAACACTAAAATATTTCTGATTGTAATTAACGCGTATCGCGAGCATTCGGTATTGACTGGCTCATTTGTCAAAGTGCAAATATTTAATGTGACAAACAGGGCGATAATTCTAATTAAAAACTGCATCGTTATACACGTAATGTGCTTTCCCTTAAAAAATAAAAAAAATTCACCATTAACCCAGTGTCGAATTCGCAACAACAAAGAAACTAATTACAGTTAATTAAAAAACATACCTTAATTACTTTTTAGACATACATTATTTTAAGACGCACATCTACTTTAAGACACGCTTAGACAACTTTAACCTTAACACGGTTCTAAATCTTGTGTCATTTATTTCTCTTCTCTAAAGTTAAGTACTCGGTACAATATAGCCTCAACTCTTCGTTACAAAGTGTATAGTTCTATTACTGGCATAATTACTTTAACATTTGTTTACATGGTGAATTCTGATTTTGCAAGTTTGAATTTTATTGCAGAACACAAAAGTGGTTTTTAAAGTTTAAAAATAAAGTTGTAAAAACGTGAGGTATCTTCTCTGATAGTGTCCTAGGTTCAAATAAAAACCTATGAACTTCTCTGATAGTGTCCTAGGTTCAAATAAAAACCCATGATCTTCTTGTGAATTCAGTCCCGATCCTCTTTCTCATAAGATATGTGAGGGCAGTCCTTCGTTCGGCCAATCGTCCATCGTCCATCAGCTATCGTCCATCATCTACCAACAATCGTCCATCATCTACCAACAATCGTCCATCATCTACCAGCAATGGTACCAACAAGATGGTCCAGGTAACCGAATTAAAAACATTTTTAATAAACTGAAACATTTTACATTTTTAAGTCAATAAATGAACACATTTTTTTTACTAGTGTAAAGGTCTATTAATAAGCTAATATGTCTATAAATAAGTGTATTAATAAGCTCTAAGGTTTACCATCATTTTTAATTGATCTTAAAATTTTGTCATGGAATGTTTTGTTTACCATCATTTTTAAATTATCCTCAAATTTTGTCATGAAATGTTTGTATCTCAGTTTTTGTGGTAGGTAGTTGTGAAGCGAATGAATGTTTCTCGACCTTTAACCCTGATATTCACTTGCAGGGCGTATAACAGTTTATATTATACCATCGGGGCAAATACAAACGGGCGAACCTATCTCAAATCTTGGACTGGAACAATTACACGAAAATACATGGACTGGAACAATTACACGCACAAAAAGATAAAATCAACACGTCATTTTCTTCTATTTTATGTTCCGGGTCAGAGACAACACCAGGCTGCAGCAGAAAAAATAAAACAACACAATTTTAGAGCAGATACCTTTGTGAAACAATCCTAGCTAGGCTTTATTAAGTCATGATTTCAAGTCATGGCAGAAAGTCATTTCTTGCTAGCAGCTGCAGTCATGTGAAGTAAGTCAAGTAATGCAGTATGTCAAGCTTCTAACACTAACCATTGTAGCAAGCCATTTTAGCAAGTCTACTAATTGGACATACTGTTTAACATAGTTTGGTGAAGGGAGGTAATGCGTGATTACAAATACAAGGGAGGTAATGAATAAAAATCATTTGATGTGGAATATTTCGTATTGTTTCGATTTATGACAGTTAACGCAAAAAGGTAATATCAAAGCTTATGCCAATGTACAATAACAAATTATAAAAATATCTTGCGTAAATATCCAAGTTTATAGTTTTATAATCACTGGGTGGGGGGAGGGGGGAGAGAGGGGGGGGGCGTGACGGTGTGGCACTGACCATCAGATGACCAGTGTCCAGTACTGTCCATCCAGATCGCAGTGTCCACATCCACTAAACAACTAAATGTGGTTTTAGTCAACTTTAGGAACACGTGAGTCAAAATGTGGTCTATAAGTTTTACGTGATCGAAGGTAATTCAAAGATTTGACACAAACTCTCCCACACTTTCTCGAGCTCACACACAATCTCCCCACACACTTTTTCAATCCCACACACACTCTCTCACACACGTTCAAGAACTCACTAATGCTATACACCTACTTCTAAAATCTGACTACTCATAGAAAAAATACAGCATGGTTTAAAATATAGACAGAATAAAAATACAGCATGGTTTAAAATATAGACAAACATCAAAATACAGCATGGTTTAAAATATAGACAAACATCATTTTAAAAATATTAACAAAGATTACGTTAACCAGGTTCATTGTTATAATAAAATTGATGTGCTTTATAATTGAATGGTGTACACGTATACATAAACAAAGCACGTATGTACACATCTATGTACATATTGTATAAACCAATTCGCAGCAACACAGTGAAGTGATATGAAGAATATTGTGTGAACTGGGCCAGCACATAACGTACAACATCTCATCTCACAGCTAGCAGTAAAAAAACAAAACATACATGCTACATCGTAACGCCCCAAACCATTTAGCTCTTGAATATTAAAGTTTAAAAAACGAGAACAATCAAAACACAATGGTGGCTGAACGTACAGGAACAGACGTGAGGTTTGGGTTGATGGGACACTTAGTCTGCCCGGGGGTACACGGGTCGGTAAACTTTTAGTGACTAGGTCGACTCTAGACGTCACGTGGTTTATCTCAACTCACAATGTAGGTTTATGAAAGTATTTCTAGAATTCGGTGCCTAAATGTGTTTACATCTTGAAAATTGTGTTTGTGTGTCTTCACTACGTTTGATGTAATGTCAGGTTTGTCTCCCTTCTCACGAGACCTGTTTGATTCGATTAACTCCCTTTCTTTACGAGAGACCTTGTTAAGCAAGATGTTGTGGTGGTGTACAGGAACCAGAGGCGTTGCTGCACACACCAAACCTGGTGGGTTACTTCAGTTTTATAGCCAACCCCAGCAAAATTTAAGGATCTAGCCACACAGGAGTTTAAGTAAAAAAAATGTGTCCCTTATTTAGTAACCCCTACCTTCCCCCACCGGTGTGTTGAGCAGAAGATAGGGACAGTCACGTTACAAACTGTCAAGCTAGAAACAGCGAAGCTGTAAACAATGAAGACCAGTATTGCGCCTGGTACAACTGTTGCGTGCCCCCTAATGTAGAACAGACACAAGGACAGCAAACAAGAGACATTCAAGTTTTTCTTGACTCTCACGAAAGTTGGGCAATGCTACAGTCAGAAAAATTAATGTAAGAGACAATAAACCCGTGACCACAGGTTCTGGGGTCAAGGACGGGGCCATGACCCCCACCCCATCAGGCTAAAGCTGGCATAGATCAAACGTAGAACAACACATTTTAATTAGCCACCAAATGATTAGAAAAATGAGTCTAGCGATACATTTTAATTAGCCACCAACTGATTGGAACAACTAAGCTTCGGCTCACCAAACGCTAGAGAAAACAGTTCGTGTCTACTGTCAACTGAGTCAAACTTAGGTTTGGTTTTCACACAACAAATATTTTAAACTCAGGTTTTAGCTCTCCACATAACAACATAGAGGGGGATAAAAGTTGACGAACGATGATCCAGCGGATTAAAGATGGCTACCGATGATCCAGTGGATTAAAGATGGCTACCGCTGACTGACATGAATTGCTAGCGAGTTCGACAGTTCTAAGTTTTCCAAGAGGAGAAGGACTTGCGACGTCCTTGGCCAAGATGAAACGGCGCCACATGGAGGCTACACCATCACCACATCGAGGCTACAACATCACCACACCGAGGCCACAACATCACCACACCGAAGCTACAACATCACGACATCGAGGCTGAGCCAGTATCTCGTGACCGCTACATGTCCACCAGATAATAGACCAGCCAGTAGCCCAGATTAAAGATTAGGAAGGCGATGGGGAAAATGTAGCGGCTAATTCTGGAAGATAAAAGCATGGTTAAATGTAACACATAATATGTTAAATGGCAGTACATACATTAATGCTAATTATATATTGACATATGGCAGCCCTACACTGACCTAAGACAGCCAATGACATAAGACAGCCACACACTGACCTAAGACAGACACACACTTACCTGTCGACATATCTGGCCCCCTGCTTGCCGTACAAACGTAGCGCCTTCGAGTCCGTCCTTGTTAGATTTGGTTTGTCTCCCTTCTCAGCGTCGCCAGCCTGGCAACACACATTTAAAAACTTGGATTTTATTACCTCCCTTTGATTCATGTCCACCCCCCCTCCCTCCCTTTCTTTAATGACACCCCTAAGCAAAGATTGGCCCCAACAGGGACAACTCCCCCCTCCCCGATTGTAATGAAACCAAGCGGGATAACTCACCCCGATTAATTGCACCAAGCGGGATAACTTATTTGCCTCCCTCTCCACCACTCAACCCATCCCTATGTACAGACACCAAACGGGACCACTCACCCCATTAGCGCCGGGAGAGTTCTCGAACGACTCCGGAGAACCGAAGCAGCGGTACGGCACCCGTCTACGGGCGAGCACGTTGATGTAGGCAAACTCCAGCAGGGAGGCGAAGACAAAGAAGAGGCAGGCGGCCATCCAGACGTCGATGGCCTTGACATAGCTGACCCTGGGCAGCGAGGCGCGCGCCCCAGAGCTCTGTGTCGTCATCGTCAGGACTGTGTGGGGAGAGAAATAATTTGGTGAGGGTAGGTCAACAGGTGAGGGGTAGGACAGCAGGTGAGGGGTAGGTCAGCAGGTCAACAGGTGAGGGGTAGGTCAGTAGGTCAACAGGTGAGGGGTAGGACAGCAGGTGAGGGGTAGGTCAGCAGGTCAACAGGTGAGGGGTAGGTCAGCTGGTGAGGGGTAGGTCAGCAGGTCAACAGGTGAGGGGTAGGTCAGCTGGTGAGGGGTAGGTCAGTAGGTGGTTGTCTACAATAGGTCGTCCAACATTGACAAAATGTAATTGTAGAAACATGTTGCTCACACATTATCGTCACACGATATTGCGCGTCAAAGATAGACACCACCCTCTAGAAATTGTAGCGTAAATAACCAAGCTCAGAATCCCCAAGTGTGACGTGTTTAATGGAAGACTCCTAGGAGCCAGGACTGACCTGTGAGCACCCCCCTCTAAACCCGGGACTGACATGTGAGCACCCCCCCCCGAGACTGACCTGTGAGCACCCCCCCCCCCCTGGGACTGACCTGTGAGCAACCCCCCCCCTGCCTGGGACTGACCTGTGAGTCCCCCCTCCACTAAACCCGGGACTACACCTGTGAGCACCCCCAATGATATCCGGGCTGGGATGGCCTCCACGTCGAGCCAAAAAGAGACCCAGGAGAGGATGACGATGAGCCCCCCCCCCCCCTAAAGTCAGGACTGACCTGTGAGCACTCCCCTCCCCCCCGGGACTGACCTGTGAGCACCCCCCGTACCCCCAGGACTGACCTGTGAGCACCCCCCACCCCCAGGACTGACCTGTGAGTACCCCCCCCCTTCGGGACTGACCTGTGAGCACCCCCCCCCAGGACTGACCTGTGACCATCCCCCCCCCCCCCCCCCCCAGGACCCACCTGTGAGCACCCCCAATGATATCCGGGCTGGGATGGCCTCCACGTCCAGCCAGAAAGAGACCCAGGAGAGGATGACGATGAGCACCCCCCCACCCCCGGGACTGACCTGTGAGCACCCCCCCCTCAGGACTGACCTGTGAGCACCCCCCACCCCACGGACCCACCTGTGAGTACCCCCAATGATATCCGGGCTGGGATGGCCTCCACGTCCAGCCAGAAAGAGACCCAGGAGAGGATGACGATGAGCACCCCCCCACCCCCGGGACTGACCTGTGAGCACCCCCCCCTCAGGACTGACCTGTGAGCACCCCCCACCCCACGGACCCACCTGTGAGTACCCCCAATGATATCCGGGCGGGGATGGCCTCCACGTCTAGCCAGAAAGAGACCCAGGAGAGGATGACGATGAGCACACTAGGCACGTACACCTGGATGATGTAGTAGCCGACGTCACGTGCCAGGATGAAGTTGCCCTGGACACAGCTAAAACTTCCGGCTGGGGAGCAGAAGATATGACGTCATTAGTGATGGACGTAATTAGAGACTTAATTAAGCTTCAGTAAAACTGACCAATACGTCAAGTATTAATGGTGAAATCCTTAAGTTGTCCTTGCTTCTTTCGTATTTCTATTGTGGTTATCGTGTTGTCTATTTTGTTAATTTGAGTTACAAAAAATAAAATCTGACTGCTAATTTAATTAAAGTGTTTCTCCTAATTATCCCTCCAACTTCACACAGACAAATTACGTACAATCAGCTGAAATGTATTTATATCTATTCTCTAGCGTCAAAAATTGGAAGGTTTAGTACCAGTCGGGTTTTTATACTACCAGATACATGAATATTACACACATATCCCTCATTACCAATGCGGTAATTAGTTTTTCTGATTACCCAGTGGCGTAGTTTGACCTTAGGCAAGGCCGAGAACTCCGCCTACAAATCGCTGGTATTATCAGCAAGGGAAATAACTTTAGTATTTTGCATTGCATTCAGCAAGTTGGTGCTCGGCCCCCCTTCATCTTCTATTAAAAGTGTGTCAGTATGTAGTCTATAAGGGGGGGGGGGGGGTGAGCTGCTCCACGGGCTGCTAGTGATGGCGTCTATACAAGATTTTTTTCATGGTGATCTTATTGTAAGGTCACCACTACATTACATGGTGATCTTATTATTAGGTCACCACTACATTACATGGTGATCTTATTGTAAGGTCACCACTACATTACATGGTGATTTTATTCTAAGGTGACCACTGCTAAAACAAACTCAATGACCTTTCTATCGACCTACGCCCCCACCCCCCACGTCCTACTTTCTGTTAAACCAACAGCTGGAAGTTTGACCAAAAAACGAGGCACCATTACCCTACATAAAGGCTGCCGTCCACTTATTGCTGACCTCTTGTTTCTGTAAGTCCCAGCCTAAATAAACCCGCCATTTTGTCTAGCCGTCAGCCGCTTCCCTCCACAGAAGTCAATACGTCATCAACTAAATGTGGAATACATAGCCCCCCCCCCCCCCACCCCACCCCAACCGTAAATGTAAAGTTCAGACAAGAGCAAATAACCTTAATCGTCATCCAACCACCCAATCATCCCAATAGCGATAGTCTCCCCTTGCATTATTTAAGACCGTCGACCATCATGATGTTATAGTATGTCTAGGAGACAGTCCAAAAACCGAGGACTTCAAGTATGACGGAGTGCTCTAGAGACAACAAGTAGGACACAGTGCTCCAGAGGACATTAAGTAGGACACATTGCCCTAAAGTACATCAAGTAGGACACAAGCCCTAGAGGACATCAAGTAGGACACTGTGCCATAGAGGACATCAAGTAGGACACTAGCCCTAGAGGACATCAAGTAGGACACTAGCCCTAGAGGACATCAAGTAGGACACAAGCTCTAGAGGACATCAGTAGGACACTGTGCCATAGAGGACATCAGTAGTACATACTGCCCTAGAGGACATCAAGTAGGACACAAGCTCTAGAGGACATCAAGTAGGACACAAGCTCTAGAGGACATCAGTAGGACATACTGCCCTAGAGGACATTAAGTAGGACAAATCCTAGCGGACATCAAGTAGGACACTAGCCCTAGAGGACATTAAGTAGAACACAGTGCACTAGAGGACATTAAGTAGGACACAAACCCTAGAGGACGTTAAGTACGCAGTACCATGGACGCACGAACTAACCAAAAGTTCAAAGAGCCCTGTGCATATCTAATTAGCTTCCGGTAATTAACCTCAATAGGCTTTTTTTTTCTCCTTTTGATAATTAACTGCAGCAGCAGAATTAATAACTCTTTAATAATGAAACGCGCAACGAAACAACTGAGAGAGCAATTCTAGACGCTGACATATTTACACCACGTCATATTTAGTCCTGGATATGTAACAAGGGGGGGGGGGGATGCAAACATCAGCATCAAACACTTGATTCGATCCTGCAAGAAACTTTCAATCATTTGAAAAGATTGAAGTGGCACCTCAGCCAATATGGGACAACGATTGAGTGTGGAAAATGTAAATCTTCTGGTGAGTTCGGTGCACGAGGCAAGAAAACGAGGTCAAATGTTGCGTCATTAATCCAATTGTTTCGAGGTCACACGCGCGCGCTAAAATGGAAATGTTTCCGTGAAAAGCTGCAGAATAATGCCAGGGTATTGATAGAGTAAATCTGTTAAACGGGGTGGGCTAGAGGTTAAATCTTTTAGGGGGGGGGGGTGGAGGGGTGGGTTAGAGGTTAAATCTTTTAGGGGGGGGTGGAGGGGTGGGTTAGAGGTTAAATCTTTTAGGGGGGGGGGGGGGTGGAGGGGTGGGCTAGAGGTTAAATCTTTTAGGGGGGGGGGGGGTGGAGGGGTGGGTTAGAGGTTAAATCTTTTAGGGGGGGGGAGGGGTGGAGGGGTGCATGCGGGGTGGGCTAGAGGTTAAATCTTTTAGGGGGGGGGGGGTGGAGGGGTGGGTTAGAGGTTAAATCTTTTAGGGGGGGAGGGGTGCATGCGGGGTGGGCTAGAGGTTAAATCTTTTAGGGGGGGGGGGGGTGGAGGGGTGCATGCGGGGTGGGCTAGAGGTTAAATCTTTCAGGCAGGGGATGCGGGGGGGGGGGGGGAGGGGCGGGGGTGCATGCGGGGTGGGCTAGAGGTTAAATCTTTCAGGGAGGGAATGGGGGGGGGTGCTTGTGGGGCTGGTTATTTCATTGATAGGTGGTGGGGGGGGGGCTTTTGGCTGGGTGGGGGAGTAATGTGTGTGGATTTTATGGTTATTCCATTTCTTTGAATGATGTTGTGGGTGAGGCTGGGGGGAGGTGGATGGTGTAACGTGGGACGCTAGGTCTGTGATGTATGATGTTAAGGGAGAAAGGCAGGGGCCTTAAGGTAAATAAATTGTGACGTGGAGACTATGGTGACACTTGCAGAGATCAGCAGGAGATGGGACCATTGAGAAATGGGACTATAGAGAAATGGGACCATAGAGAAATGGGACCTTAGAGAAATGGGACCATATGGAAATGGGACCACCAAGAGATAAAACAATCCCCTGATGTGGGGAACCAAGGGGTGGGCTGGGAGAAAAGGTTGACTCGGGTAGGGTGGTATTAAAGAGATTAAAACCTTACATAACTTCCATTTGTCAGACACTATTTAAGTACAACGGGGTTAAGCTATTTCTTCATTCAAATTGACAGAAAACAGTTTCTGAGCCTATTTACATAATAGAGGAATAGGACTATGGTAAAACGTTTTCGTTACTACCAACATGAAGTCTAGCCAGTATTCTAATAGATTTTATCGTGCATTTGATCATTCGTTTTTTATGTATGCACACTAAAATATAATTTAATTTTTAAAAATTCAGTAAACGATTGACAAGGTTAAGACTGGACTCGTCATGCCCACAGACCCACTCTACTTCCTCCCCCACCCTGATATTAGATTTTCTTTTCTTGTATGTCTTGGTGCAGTTGTCCAGATCGTGCTACATGAGACCCCCCCTAGCCCCCCCCCCCTCATGCCCTACCCCCACTGACTTACTTTCCTTGTATGTCTTGGTGCAGTTGTCCAGATCGTGGTACATGAGCCCCCCCCCCCCCCCTACCCCAATCCACTGCCCCCCCACCCTCATGCCCCACCCCCCATGACTTACTTTCCTTGTATGTCTTGGTGCAGTTGTCCAGATCGTGGTACATGAGTGTGTACTGCGACAGCTGCAGTTCCTCGTTGTAGTCTATTGGCTTGTGCTCCATCCAGCGGTACACGATGTTCTCTGTCGTGTAGCCGTCTGTGGAATACGGGAGTCACGTGGTCAGACACTTGCAGGTACGCAACACAGCATTACAAGGCGTCGCACACTGACAACTGGACATTATGACACCGATGACATACATGAGAGCAGTGACATACATGACAACACGACACTAGTGGCAATAACCATGACAATGCAACAATGACATACACAAGGGCATTAGAACACCATTTACATACATGACAACATGACACCGATACTAGTTACATATCCACGTGACAAAATAACACCAGTGACATTAAACATGACAATGCAACAATGACATACACCCTGACGTCATGTAAGTCAACAGTGACATGTCATATGACAACTAAACTGAACTATTCTCACATGACATGTAGGTTTTACCCCAGCCATCTCATTGTCTGGTACCGTGTCTACTAAACAACTGTTGGACCAGTCTCCCAACCCCCACACCCCATCATCACGGCTGAGGGATGGTCTAGCCGGTGTCTAGACTAAGAAAATGGTGCTCACACCAACCACAACTACTCACAGCTAGCAATTTTGATGGGGCACCTCTGTATATCAAGCGGGTATTTCTGGAGCTTCATGTGACAGGAAAGTAACACGGACAGTCTGGAGAAAAAAAAACGGAGATTTCCATTTCAATCATCGGATATTCCCGTAAATTAAAAGTAAAAGTGCGGGAGAATGGTAAATTTTCGGGAAAATTAAAAAAGAAAAAGGCCTACTTTACAGAAACAAAATGAATAGTTAACACATGAAAACAAGGTAGTCTATGATTGATCTCTGTGGGTATTTGAGATCAATATCACTGCAGTTTAAAAAGTGTTAAGTAATTAGGTGTGACGTAGTGGTATTACTGATGAACTTTGAACTTAATGTTTTTCAAGTTATTTTCAGAGATAGACGACTGCAAGCTAGAACTCGAAACATTCTCACCTAGACAGCGCTACTGTTGTACTATTTTTACCCAACGTCCGAGGGCATGGTTAAACACGCACCTAGATAAAGTTGATGGACCCGACCATTATGGTAGCCTGCCACCCCCCCCCCCCCCCCCCCCACCAAGGTCCGAGCTTATCATTCCTGGAACATTCCAGACCAGACAGACAATTTAGGGAGAACGGAAATCCCCAGACTAATTTCACTTTCATTTCCCCAATGGGAGCTCAAGACGTCTGTAACCTTTCCACCTGGGTTCGAATCCCACCCAGTCCTTTATATGTGTACCAAGTGTGTACATTATTTATCCCGGCACTAATTAGCTCCTGACATTCACGTTAGCTGGTCACGTGGTCAGTTCAAACATAGCCAGACCCAAGAAGTTGGCGCATCTCAACTAGATCAGGTCAATTACTTGATGGTTGATACACAATTAGATTAATTAATTAGTTGAGTAAAAACATGTAGACCTTTTGATCCTCCGTGGACATTAAATTTTGTCATCTTTTGTGACCTTGTCATGTTAACTTATTGGCATCGAACATAGGCGTTTTCTACGTTGATTAAACACAGTGGTAGTCCTACACACATAGACGTCCTACACACATAGACGTCCTACACACATAGACGTCCTACACACATAGACGTCCTACACACATAGACGTCCTACACACATGGACGTCCTACACACATAGACGTCCTACACACATGGACGTCCTACACACATGGGAGTCCTACACACATGGACGTCCTACATACATAGACGTCCTACACACATGGGCGTCCTACACACATAGACGTCCTACACACAGTGGTCGTCCTACACACATAGACGTCCTACACACATGGACGTCCTACACACATGGGCGTCCTACACACATGGAAGTCCTACACACATAGACGTCCTACACACATGGGCGTCCTACACACATGGACGTCCTACACACATGGGCGTCCTACACACATAGACGTCCTACACACATGGACGTCCTACACACATGGGCGTCCTACACACATGGAAGTCCTACACACATAGACGTCCTACACACATGGGCGTCCTACACACATAGACGTCCTACACACATAGACGTCCTACACACATGGACGTCCTACACACATAGACGTCCTACACACATAGACGTCCTACACACATAGACGTCCTAAGTATTTAGCGACTTATACATATATAGACCCAACTTGTAGAACAAATGTCACAATTATTTGTTGTAACAAAAGTTTGTTATAAAATCTAATTATCGTGTAACAAAAGTTTGTTATAAAATTTAATTATCGTGTAACAAAAGTTTGCTATAAAACCTAATTATCGTGTAACAAAAGAAAAAATTGCAGACGTGACCTCATGCTGTAGTAGATGGTGCCGTTACGGTACAGGTGCATCAGCTTGTTGGGGACGGTCACAATGTGGAACTCACCTTTCTTCTCGTTCCTGGAAGTGGACAAAACTCTGGCATTAGCACCTGGACAGGTAAACAACGGGACAGGTGGGAGAGGGAGGAGAGGTGGGAGGAGAGGTGGGAGAGGAGAGGTGGGAGAGGACAGGTGGGAGAGGTGGGAAAGGAGAGGTGGGAGAGGAGAGGTGGGAGAGGAGAGGTGGGAGAGGATAAGAGTGAGAGTCTTAAGAGAGGTGAGACATTGTGGAGACACAGTTTTGATATGACGCGTTGGGTGTTTTTAAACGGGTCAGTTACCCACATTACCTGAAAAACATGTCAGGTACCCACATTACATGAAAAACGGGTCAGTTACCCACATTACCTGAAAAACATGACTGGTACCCACATTACCTGAAAAAAGTGAGTGGTACTCACATTACCTGAAAAAAGTGAATGGTACCCACCTGAAAAACATGTCAGGTACCCACATTACCTGAAAAACGGGTCAGTTACCCACATTACCTGCATAACGTGTCAGGTACCCACATTACATGAAAAACGGGTCAGTTACCCAAATTACCTGAAAAACATGACTGGTACCCACATTACCTGAAAAAAGTGAGTGGTACCCACATTACCTGAAAAAAGTGAGTGGTACCCACATTACCTGAAAAACGTGTCAGGAACCCAAATCATGGACATGAGCTTGATGTCAATCTCTAGCCAGGTCGCCTTGGAATAGTTCATGAACTGGAGGCGAGGGTCCACCCACCTCTGACGTAGGTAGATGTTCATTGAGTAGTCCTAGAGGAGGTAAGAGAGGTGTGGTCATGGTGGGGAGGTAAGAGAGGTGTTGTTATGTGGGGTGGGGGTGGGGTGGTAAGAGAGGTGTGGTCATGAGGGGAGGTAAGAGAGGTGTGGTCATGGGGGAGGTAAGAGAGGTGTGGTCATGGTGGGGAGGTAAGAGAGGTGTTGTTATGTGGGGAGGTAAGAGAGGTGTTGTTATGTGGGGAGGTAAGAGAGGTGTTGTTATGTGGGGAGGTAAGAGAGGTGTTGTTATGTGGGGAGGTAAGAGAGGTGTTGTTATGTGGGGAGGTAAGAGAGGTGTTGTTATGTGGGGAGGTAATCGAAGGGCTTGATTGTGTAACAACTAACTATTATATTTTAATGTCTAGAACTCATTAGGTCGCAATTATGAACATTGGCCAATCCAATTGCTGTATATGCGCTTGGGCAACCACGTGTCAGTCCAAAACGAGACTTCCGGTCAGTTTAATCACATGACCGCAGCAAGCGCCATCAAAATAAAATTTCAAGCAGAAATTGACTTCTCCAGGGGAAGCAATCCATTCACTAGCAGACGTTAGTTCACCAGCAGACGTATACATCTTCATTTAAAATCAAACGACACGGGGAGCGGAATATATTGAGACGTTTGTCGCCCCTTGTGGGACCACGGGGGGTGTGGGGGTGATGGATGGGTTCAGTCGGGGGGTGGGGGTTATGGATGGGTTCAGTCGGGGGGTGGGGACGGCGTGATGGAGGGTGGAATCAGGAAACTTATGTAGTCGTCTGGCCATATGTCAGCTGACGGTAGCAGCCTCGTTTGGGATAGTGTTGGTCAGCTGATGGAGAGGTCAGCTGATGGAGAGGTCAGTTGATAGAGAGGTCAGCTGATGGAGAGGTCAGCTGATGGATAGGTCAGCTGAGGTCAGCTAATGGAGAGGTCAGCTGAGGTCAGCTGATGGAGAGGTCAGCTGATGGAGAGGTCAGCTGATGGAGAGGTCAGTTGATGGAGAGGTCAGCTGATGGAGAGGTCAGTTGATGGAGAGGTCAGCTGATGGAGAGGTTAGTTGATGGAGAGGTCAGCTGATGGAGAGGTCAGTTGATGGAGAGGTCAGCTGATGGAGAGGTCAGCTGATGGAGAGGTCAGCTGATGGAGAGGTCAGCTGAGGTCAGCTGATGGAGAGGTCAGTTGATGGAGAGGTCAGATGATGGAGAGGTCAGCTGATGGAGAGGTCAGTTGATGGAGAGGTCAGCTGATGGAGAGGTCAGTTGATGGAGAGGTCATCTGATGGAGAGGTCAGCTGATGGAGAGGTCAGCTGATGGAGAGGTCAGCAGTAGTATATTAGGTCGCTTTTGGAGCGTATTCCTGGCGGAGGTGGGGAGGGTGAGGAACAATGACATATAGTAAAATACTCGGGAGCAGGATGCGCGGGTGGCGCAAAGACATATAGCAAAATACTACGCCAGCTGCCGCAGCCTGGCGCATCGGGAGGGTAAGGGTGGGTGAGCAGGATGTGGGGGTGGCGCAAAGACATATAGTAAAATACTACGCCAACTGGGGTTGGCGGAGGTGGTGGGGAAGTAGGTCACCTTTTGGTGACCTTGTGACGTAATTAGTAACATTATGACGTAATTAGTGACTTTGTGATGTAATCATTGACCTAGTTACGTAATTTTAATGCGTTTTTTAATGAGTTTTAATGAGTTTTTTAAATTTTTAATCAATTTTTATTGACTAGTTACGTAATTTGATTATTTGTTTACTTTTTAATTAATTTTTATTGACCTAGTTACGTAATTGGATTTTAATGAGTTTGAATTTAATTTTGTAATTTTAATTAATTTTTATTAACGAGTTACGTAATTTGATTATTTGTTTGATTTTAAATTGTTTACTTTGTTTGTTTACTTGTTGTTTATTTGTTTATATTGTGTAATTTTTATTCAATAGTTACGTAATGTGATTTTAATTATTTTTATTTTGTTTATTTTTAATTTTATTTTATTTTATAATTAGTTAAATTATTATTAACTAGTTACGTAATTTGATTTTAATTACTTTGTTTATTTATTTATTTAATATATTTCTTTTCTTTGATGTTTAATTTGTTGGTTTGTTTGAATGTATGTATGTTTAAATAAAAGACTAACACTAGCCGTGTACTTTGTGAATAACATCCATTAAAGATAACGATCAGGCGACAGCTGTTACGTATCGATCCGCGATCCTTTGTTGACACACGCTGAGCGGTTTTTAATGGGCTTTATATTGATCGCAGCCGCTGGCCCATCACAGCATGATGTCCCACCTAATTAAATTTTGTTATGCTTCACCGAGTTTCCCCCGCTCGGTTGACAGCTGTGCAACAGCTGTTGTGCGACAGCTGGTGGTGTAATTAGGTTGACCAACCGGACATTACCTTGTTGGTTTTCTAGTACGCGTATGCTACACGTATATACACACACACACACACACAATCACAGAAACTAACTTTCTTACTTTTATATTAAAAGACAAGTATGTGTTATTGTTTTGTTACTTGTCCCTGAAAGTTATGTAACTCGGTATCCTGTATAAGATATATGACTGGAAGCAAAATCAACCATTTAAAACGATGGATCCGAGATGGAAACATCCCTTTACCGCTCTGATCGCTGGGCCAACTGGGAGTGGTAAAACAGTATTTGTCAAAACCTTTTTATCCCAGGTGTCAGAGATGATGGATCCGGCACCCGAGGAAATTTATTACTGTTACGGGGAGTGGCAACCTTTGTTTGATACCATAAAGAACGTTCAGTTTGTGGAAGGTCTTCCTGACTTAGAAAATGGATCAATGGGGGATGGAAAACGTCGACGTTTAGTCGTCATCGATGATTTGATGGCGGAAACAGATGAGCGAATTACAAAATTGTTTACGAAAGGGAGTCACCATCGTAATATTAGTGTCATGTATATTGTCCAAAACCTATTCGGGAAAAATAAAGAACAAAGAACCATCAGTCTCAATTCGCATTACATAGTGTTGTTCAAGAACCCTAGAGACGGTTCACAAATTACAAATTTGGCAAAACAAATGTATCCCGGTCGCGTTTCGTATGTCCAGGAAAGTTTTAAGGACGCAACATCGGCCCCTCATGGTTATTTGTTGATCGACCTTCGACAGGAAACACCGGATAATCTGAGATTACGCAGTAGTATCTTTTCTTACGAGCAGCAAGTCGTTTACGTCCCGAAATAAAAGCAACCATGTCTGAGTCGGTAAAACAACAAGGTGAGATGTTAAGGTTTTTGGCTCGGGCCAAACCACCCGCCGTGAAAGCCGTTGTCGAAAATGCTACCCCACAACTCGTAAAAACGTTATGCGAGTGCTGTCACAATGTATTAAAAGGCAACGTTCCCCTCACGCCCGGTCAGAAGAGACGTTTGCGTCGTCACAAAGTGAACTTGAGACAACTTACCAAAAAGTCATTGACCGTCAAAAGACGAAAGCAAATTTTGCAGACCGGTGGTTTCCTAGGTGCTTTACTCGGACCAGTTCTCGGTGTGCTTAAAGGTGTCTTGGGATTTTAAAGATGGCCAGGAAAATGCTTTTAATGGATCCTCGAATATTAGAGTCTATGCAACAAAAAGCATATGTACCACCCGATACACTCAACGATAGTCTACGCCTTTTGGATATGCAAATGGAACATATCTTAAATAGGGAAGATTTGTCACCACACGACAAAGTGAGACAATATCAAAAGACACTACAGCTCTACACGACGCGACTTAGCGATTATAGAAACAAGTCCCTAGGATTAGTCGATGTGAAACCATCCACCGTGAATACCCCAACGACCGAGGTTGAAAAACCACAAGAAAACATAACCGAACCTAAAAAAGAAACGATAGACATAACAGAATCTGAAACTAAAACGAAATCCGGCTCGCCTGACTCTGATATTCACCCCTCGAAGAAAACGAAGACACACGTAGAAAAAACACCACCATCGAAACGTACCAGAAGTAAGAAAACTAAAACAAGCACTACCAAATGGGACGCGTGGGAAAAAACCAAACACTAAAAAGACATTACTATGACCCCAGTAGACCAGGTGCCTACGGCGGCGTGTTTAAGCACCCTGAAATTGGAACTAAGAAAATTAAAGAATGGTTAAGTCATCAGGATACCTACACGTTACATAAACCTCTTCGGCGACACTTTCAGAGGCGCCCCACCATCACCGGTGGGACAAATCACCAGTTTCAAGCGGATCTTATAGATATGCGCATGTTACGAAAGTACAATGGTGGTGCTTCTTACCTATTGACCTGCATCGATGTGTTTAGCAAATTCGCCTGGGCGATTCCGATAAAGAAAAAAACGGGTAAGGCTCTAGCGGAGGCCGTACGTAAAATATTTACTACTAGAAAACCTATAAATTTTCAAACAGACAAAGGTAGTGAATTTGTCAACAAGACATTTTTAAAATTTCTTAAAGATGAGGGCGTTCATTTCTTTACCACTGAGAATGAAGATATTAAGGCGGCTATAGTTGAGAGATTCAATCGAACATTAAAAGAAAAAATGTGGCGGTACTTTACAAAAACAAATCGTCTTCGTTACATTGATGTCGTAGACGACTTGATCACCAACTATAACCACTCGTACCATAGGAGTATTCGTATGGCCCCTGTGAATGTTAATTTGTCTAATCAAGAAAGGGTCTGGAATACTTTATACGAACATGGGGACATTACTTATCGAAAAGTATTTAACGAAGGTGATCGTGTACGGATCAGCCAAAGTCGAAACACGTTTAAAAAGGGTTATACCCCGTCGTGGACGGAAGAACTGTTTACGGTGAGCCGCGTGAACGCGACAACGCCTGTAACATACGTCTTGAAAGATGATTCAGGTGAAGAAGTGAAAGGTTCGTTTTACAAAGAGGAGCTTCAGAAAGTGGGGGACAAAAAAGTGTACCGCGTCGAACAAATTATACAAGAAAGAAAGGGTGTCGGTGGTAAAGAGTA